TCTGTCCGTTAAGTATGGTTGGTTGTGTGACGCTGAAACATGTTGGGGAGGTAATGTGTTTTTGTGTTCTGTTTCAATCACATGATGAGTGTGAACGTAACATAGAAACCTTTGTAATTTCATTCTCCATTCCGTCAGTTGCTTGCACATGTTTGCCTACCATTTTCAGTAGCTTTCGAAGCGTGTATAAGTCGACATTCATGGACAATACTTGTCTAAAGAAAATCTTTGTTGGACCGACACCAACCACATTAACAGAACAAACTCTAGTGAACTATTTTAGTCGCTTTGGTACCATCGATGCACTTGAACTGGTAAGTGAAGAAAGAGTTCGAATATCAAAAAGAAAACATCTTCTAATATTGCAGGTAGACATGTCTTGTCGATCATCAGGGTCTTCTAACTATCCACAATCAGCAACGAATATCTTTGTATGTCTCCATTTCTACATGATCACACTCTCATTATCACGAACATCAACTTCTTTTGACGAATTTAATCAAGAATGGCATGTGATCGACAATCATTTACTACAAGTTCGTCAAGTTGAATCACGACCAGTTAGTTTTACAGAAACATCGTCAGGACCTGGTAAGATTATATTCCACAATGTCTTCCTCATCGAATTATAGCAATGTATATTAAGCAAAGATCTAGAGCACTTTCGTATGAAGTTTTCACGTGCCATGAAAGCCACCCAGTTTGTACCGTTTCTTATGTTGATCATTTTAAATAAAAATTCTATCAATTGCCAGTGAAATAAATGAAAAAGTTAAAATAATCAGCGACCGTTACTGTAGTTTTTTGTGGAAATTATGTTGAGAAATTATAAGTCTAAATATGAAAATAAAGTATGAATCTACACCGAGAACCCCATTCTCACCATCGGGCTCTACTTGCAGATGTAAATCAATCGGTAGAAACAGCATCGCCATATTCACCAAGCTTGTTAAGTGGGCGCATAAACAACGTTAAACGGAGTATTCCACAAGTTTCGACGGTGAAAAGCACTGTGACCGGAATGAAGATATCTGTCACTCCTGCATGGTTCGAAGAAATCAAAGTTAGACCTCCCATTTATCTATCATCAGTAACGACAACAAACACCGAACTACGCAGATCATTTGACACACTTGCTAAATACCGAACGGTACGAGATAGTCAGTACAATGAACCCATCAGTTTTATTACTAAGCCATTCGTGCCAGATCTGACTTCAACTGAGACGCTTATCGTACTACTTGATATGCTCGCCCAATCGAACGGAATGGAGACGAGCTTTGCAAGGACACCATATACGTATGACGACCGTTTCTATCGCGCTGCATGTGGTGTGATCAATCTGTCCACTATCCCTCTGCTAACCTTAAACAATGATGGATCCCTGCTCACAGCAGTATTTAACGTCAAGCTCAATTTATCATACGACGAGATCACATCAAGCGAAAATACGATCAGAGAATTCGTCGTTGCTTTCATCAATGATGTTTCCAAGACGTTCAATTGTAAACCAGAATACATACGCGTGTTTGAATTTTCGCGTGGTAGTTTAGTGGCAAAGTGGGGATTTACTACACCAGACCAACAGTATACCCGAGATCTGGCTAAGAAATTCGTGCAAGAAGCACAAAAACCATTTTCTGTCGAGTTACTTGTACTTTCGAAAGCTATACCCGCTGATTATCCGATCACATGGGAACAAGTGCCTTCGGCGTTGCAACTACATCCGAACGACTTTGAACCAAAATTTGACCGAGACTATCGAAATTGGCCTGCTCATGATTCTATTCAAAAGCGTGGTAATCGTCCATACTATCGTCCAATCGGATGGTATCGACATGCATTGCGTGTCATTGATAAGTATGGTAACAATACAAGTTGGCTGGGCATGAATAACAGACCTGATGAATGGGCTGTTGCATATCACGGCACTAAAAAGGTAGCTGTGTCACCGATCATGAAAGACGAACTAAAACCAGCCAATGTTGACGCTTACCGATCAACGGTAGTGCGTGAGAAGGGTCCTGTAGCCCAGAACGGAATCTATCTTGCCACACATTGTAACAAAGGAGCGGATGCAAATCGATATGCTGACAGTTTTACTGTAAAAATGCCGCCCGGTGCTGCGACTGCCGAAGAAAAATATAAGGTTGTGTTTCAATGTCGTTATAATCTTGATGCATATACCGAACATCCGTGGACTTGGACACCAGAACCCTACGATCATTTAGCCAAAGAAATCCGTGTTTATCAGATGGATGGTGTTCGCCCTTATGGAATTTTGCTGAAAAAAGTGGTTCAAGACATGAGATGTAATTTAACTGGTGTATGGACCTGTGATGATGAAGAACGTCATGTACAAGATGCTGGTACATATTACATAAGTCAATTTGGTGACAAGGTATTTTGGTTTGGACGACAACATAAAGCATCTTGGAATTTTGCTAATGTTAGTTATGGTATTATAAATGAACATGTTAACAAATTGACCATGCAATGGGGTGATTTACCCCTTGCTACGAATAGATATTTTGGTAAACTAATATTAGAAATATCATCAGATTATCAGATTCTAACGAAAAAAGAAATATGATATTTTTCATGATTTTATTTCCTTAACAACACGTCATCAGTTGGTTACTGTATGTATGCTCTTTTATGAAATGAATCAGTTCAACGTGAGAAGAAGAGACAAGCTCTTGTAGCGCAATCGGTTAGCGCGTTTGGCTGTTAACCAAAAGGTTGGTGGTTCAAGTCCACCCAGGAGCGTATGTTTTTTACTCAATTATGTCATATGTACTTGTTTCCATCGTTCTGGATACGGGATTAAGTTTCTGTGCAGTACTCATCTGAATTTGTGTGAGAATGGTTTGTCGTGCTTTTGTAAGATTTTCATGGCTTATCTCACTGCTCAGTGTAAGAGATTAGCTTTCATTCTGTACATTATAATCAAAAACCAAGAAGCTCCATTTATATACTGATGTGTGACTGTTATATAGTGTTGATCACTTCTGAATAGAGGTTCCATTGTTAGACCACCTCTCACTTTATACTCATTTTTTCTTTGCTTTATTTATCCTTCCTTTAGAATTATCTTATTGTAAATGTCCGGTGTTTTTTCGGCCGTTCGAGTGACCTTGAAATAGTCGTTGTTCGCAATGTTTTTAGCCTCTTTCCATTAATCTTTCTAAGTATTGCGCAGAAGACAGTCTGCATCGCCAACTTCGGATTCCAGAGTTCTGACTTCAAGATCTTTCATGCTCTATTCAACTATTCAAGAAAATTTAAATTAAAGAAAATATATATAAGAAGAATATATAGCAATTAATTAGCAATGATTACCAGTTAATAATAAACAGTGTACAAAGTATGTGAAAAGAACAACCCCTCTATTCCAAATTGAGACCACATTTTATTTCTATAAGAAACGAGAAAATATATGTATTCCAAACTGAGACCGCTTTTTTTTACTATAAAATTTTCGCTTCCAAATTGAGACCACTTTTTAAATCTAATTAATAATCATTAAAAAAAAGTGGTCTCAATCATGAAGCAGCCTAAGAAAAATTTCGTTTTACACTTAGAGTAAGACCTTTTCGATTATCGAAAAGGTCTTACTCTAAGTGTAAAACGAAATTTTTCTTATGGCAAAATACTAAAGCGACGTAAGAGTTCAGATTACTTGCGCAAAGTGTAAAATGAAGTTAACATGCAAAATAGTATAAAAGTGTGGAATTCTCTTTAATGTGGAGCCTGAGAATAACAATCATGAGAAAAAAAACAGACTTTAATTTTCGGGTAGCTCGGTTCGAGTTTTCGGGTAACTCGAAGCTCGGTGCATACCTACCACTATCCGTTTCAAAACCGAAGTTTTTTTGAAAAGTTTTTTGAAAAGCTTTTGACAGGAACAATATAGAGACTGCGGTTTTCACCGTTAGAAAAAGGACACCTGGGGGCATAATTCTATGTTAAACCGAGCCAAATCCGAGAGGTCTACCATGGTGTACCTTTTGAAACAAAATGTCCGAGCCTGCTCTTCCAAAATTCTACATAGCAAAGTACTGCTCTAAACACATGTGGATATACAGCAGATGTCGCTCTACAACCGGGCGTCCCAAGTCTCCATCTATCGTGGTTCTAGCACTACAGGCAATCTGCGGGAACCTACCTATCGGCTAAATCTGAAGTTCGGAAACCCTAAAAACACATGAAACGTAGGTTTTCGAACACGGGGAATTTCGTGGCAATTTTTGTTTTATTCTCCAGATTAAACAAACTTCAAAAGATGAGTTTTTCAGAAAAATTGATTTTTTCGCTCTGACTGTACTAAAATGAAAACCTTCTAGCACTTCATTTCTCAACCAAATTGCATGTAGGCTGAAGAATAAGCATAAGACAAGGTGTTCTATACGATCTCACGAACTACAAAAAATAAACCGGATCTTCGACAGGTTTTTCATAAAACCTCTGAAGATCTTCAGGTGAAATCTCAGTATGAGAAATAATTTTAACATTCCTCAACTGTACAGTAGATGAAACTGAGTGAGTTTCGAAAATCTGAAGCAGGTTGGGTGAGAAATGAAAGTGCTAGAAGGTTTTCATTTTAGTACA